TAATAATAATATCTTTAATAATTATAATGGCATTTGTACTGCCAAAATCCAAACTCTACAGCAAGCTCTGTGTGCTTTGCAACTATTTTCATTCCAGCAGACCATAGAACACTCAGAAACATTCCTGGTTTCCCGGGAAGCATACAGTGCAAGCAGCCGATGAAGCACTCATACAGTAACAAACAGACAAGATTTTTCCCTGTCTATAGCCGGGTGCCCCTTCCCACCTGGGTGAAATGAGGGTGGCTGCTGCTTTTTCAATAACCAATCTGTCTTAAAAGTAACAGCAATGATAAAATTGAAAAACAGGAAGGAGGGAATACCCCGGATTTTCATTCTAAATACCACTACCAGGTATAAGACAATGGGTCCGAAATTAACCCTATTTATAGGTCATGTTTTACTATCGTATCCATACAACATGGGGAACTCTGTGCTACCACTTTCCAGATAGGAAATTTACTCATGAATCCCATGATTTTTCGCAAAATACTGAAAGTTTCAAAGAGATCTTCTCCCTAAAAGCATTCTAAAATGTGAAGAATACAACCCCTGGGGTACAAAATGCCCCCAGGGCGTACGGATAGGGTTAAAACATGAAAGTCAAGGTCAAGGAAAACATCAATGACAATGTGCAGTGCTGAACTCGTTTGAGTCGATCTTTCGTTAAGTTGATCTTTTTCTAGGGTCCCAGCACCTCTTCTTCTGTACAGTTCCAAACGGTTAAGTTGAACTTCCACTGAGTTGATCTGTTTTTCCCTCACCGAACAACATCAACTAATCTATTGTCAACTGTATGATCATTGTATTAGTACCACATATTTGTCCATTTTTTTCTCTACTAACTTTTGTATTGTGCATTATTGTACCAACCCTACATTTAACACAATAGGTTTACTTAAAAACATGGTAAAGTATGGCATCAAAAAGTATGGTAAGGTGTGGTCTGGTTATGTATGGCATGGCGTGGAATTGCTTAGCATGGTGTAGTGTGGTGTGGCGTGATGTGGTGTGGTGTGGTGTGGTGTGGTGTAATGTGGTGTGGTGTGGCATAGCATGGCTGTGGTGCGGTGTGGTGAGGCGTAGTGTGGTTGTGGTGTGATGTGGTGTGACGTGGTGTGGCATGGTGTGGTGGGGTGTGGTGTGGTGTGGTGTGGTGGGGTGTGGTGTGGTGTGGTGTGGTGTGGTGTGGCAAAGCAAGGCAGGGTGTGGTGTGGTGTGTGGTGTGGTGTGGTGCGGTGCGGTGCGGTGCGGTGCGGTGCAGTGTGGTGTGGTGGTGTGGGGTGGCATGGTGTAGTGTGGTGTGGGGTGGCATAGCATGGCATAATGTGGTGTGGTATGGTGTGGTGTGGCGTAGTGTGGCGTGGAGAGGTGTGGTGTGGCGTTGTGTGGTGTGGTGTGGTGTGGTGTGGTGTGATGTGATGTGGTGTGGCATGGTGCGGTGTGATGTGGTGTGTGGTGTGGCATGGTGTCCAATAAGATACATAATTTCTATTTGAAAACAGACTCTGAATCTCACCTCCCCTTCTGAAAATAGGTTCAGTTTTCTCACAGCCAAATGCTCCAAGCCTAGGAATGAAGCCACGTGGTCAATGATGGATTCCATGGCAAAGATGGCTTGTGCTGAACCTGAAAGATTGTCTTATCAACTTGATTTAAAATGTGAAAGAGGTGATTCTAATTAAAAATTTATTTTACTTTACTTCATATTATCCTTCCTCTTATATTGTTAGATGTCGAGGGGAGGTGCAATTTTTGGTCAAAGTTCATTTGGAATACTTTTATTTACATAACTGACAGTCAAATTAAAAGATCAAAACAGGATTTCTCATTAAATCAGTTAGGAAGCAATGCACTGGTGTGACTAAACATTGCTATAAGCATCAAAATGAAAAAAAATATGGTCCTGAAAAATGTCTGTAAAATTCCAGACTAAAATTTCTTTACTACCCACCAGATACAGGCAATGTATGCCTATTTTGAAGAAAAGGCACTGAACAGTATCAAAATTATGTTAATCTGAACAAAAAACAAACCAAAAGTTTCAGGACGAAAATTTCACTTTTCATCCAGAGTAATAGTGGATTAAATTTTACGGCACACAAAATGTTGCGTTCGCGATAAAGTTTTGATTCATTTTTTTTCCACTATGCTCATATCTTGGTCTACTTTTCTACTTTACTTTGTCTTCCTCAGCACTCCAACATTTCTCACTCCCTTTCCTCAAGCTGTCAGTATGTCTCTCTCTCTCACTTCCTCGTATCTTTCATCCGTCTGGTTCCCTTTCCCCCTTCACCTCTCTCTCTCTCTCTCTCTCTCACTCTCTCTGTCTCTCTCTCTCTGTCTCTCTCTCTCTGTCTGTTTTTCTCTCTCTCTCTCTCTCTCTGTTTTTCTTTCTCTCTTGCTCACTCTCTCTTTCTATCCCTCTTTTATCTCTCTCCATATCCGTTGTCATCCCTCTTTCCAGTTCTTCTTCCTCTTCTTCTATTTCTCCTTCTATTCCTTGATTTTTTTCCTCTTCTTCCCCTTTTTCTTCTTCTTCCTCCTCCTCCTCCTCCTCCTCTAAACAACCCCCCTCCCCCATTTCCCTCACCAGGAGCCCTGCAGGCTGTACTGGGTGGTCTGTCAGTGTGACATGAGAAAGCCTTCACCGACCAGTTGGGGCACAGATAGCCTGAAGCAGAAAGGAAACACAACGGGAAACTTCATTACATTAATAATAATAATAATAATAATAATAATAATAATAATAATAATAATAATGACTGCATTTATATAGCGCATATCCATGCTGAAGAGCTTGCTCTGTGCGCTTTACAACTATCATTACACCAGCAGACCCTCTGAGAACACTCAGAAAATTCTCGGCTTCCGCAGAAGCATACACACAGTGCAAGCCGCGGATTTCATGTGCTCAAACACTATCACTATCAAAATGATAAGATCGTTCACTGTCTATAGCTAGGTAACCATTTCCACCTGGGTGAAGTGAGGAAAATTTGTGCAAAGTGCCTTTCCCAAGGACACAACATCGGGCCCATGACGGGATTCCAACCCACGACCTTACGATTGCGAGTGCAAGAGCCTAACCACTAGGCCACCGACGCCACTTTGCATCAGTGTGTGTCAACCTTTCTATAGCCAGTATCCACGTTTGCCACATTTGAGAGACAAAGTTCTGCACTGCCGTCTACATGTATTTCATAGTGAGGCATTAAAGAAACTGTAACTACCTGTGGGATTTTCATGTTTTAGTAAGTGTTTTACGGCACTTGCAATACAATAAGGTCATATAAGTGCCGAAGATTAGAGGTGTTACAAGAGAGTAACAAACACAAAAAAGAGAGAGGAGACATAAGGACGATAGATATTTGATAGGAAAGAAGAAGCAAACTATACCAGAGCATCCGCCAACTACCTGTGGGATTTTTACCGGGCACCAAAATGACTAAATCATCCACAAAGTGGACAACCACGCAGGTTGGCAAATACCGCATTATACAGTACTTTTGATACTGCTATTGATCTAGTTTTTCTTTATCTGCTGCTGTAGGGTGTTATGGGGAGGTAAAAGACATCAGGTCTTGGGAAAAAGGAGAGCCTCCTACAGCTGGAAATCGAGAGCTATCCTTTACTCCCTCGATCTACCCTTTCTTGGGTTTTCCTCTTACTCTGTATTCAGTTATTCCTGAATTCTTCTGACTTTAAGGGATTTTAAGTCAAAATTAACACTATGAGAAAGGAAAGTTCAAGTTTAATGTTATTTCTTTTATATCCATGTATGACTTTCAAATGCCCGACTAGGTCATTTTTGGAAAGTGGTAACTGTTTTGGTAAAGAAAAGACTGCAGGAAAAACAGAATAGGGAAAATTAGGAGTAGAAAAAGCAGATGTAGATAGACTCACATCTCTCTAGTGTTGAGATGAAACAAAACTCACAATTGTCTACAAACCACTCCAGAGCCTCATTGGCATCTATAGGAAGGAAAACAGCCCCGGAGTCCGAGTAGCAGGTCAAGTCCACTGCCAAAAGTTTGCCGCAGTCATCGAAAGCAACCTTGACAAAGAAAGATACTGAAAGTCATTTTTACCGTCATCAGTTCCAGTCCAACAAACTTAATCATCTGGTAAAATAAGTATTTCTATGACCTTTAAATAATGTAGGCCTGGAATTAGAATACCATTGGATTACCATGACAATACTGATTATTAAACATTATCATTGTTAATAATTATTATTAATTTACACCTTATGCATGTGACTGTGGGTCTGTTTGTGAGCATGTATATATGTGTGTGTGGAAAAGGATGTGAGAGAGAGAGTATGTTTATATTGGAGAGTGTGCATGCATCCCTGGTGGAACTTTTCCCTCCCTTTGGCAAGAGAGCAAAACAGCAGAGATAAGAAATAACTCAGCCACAATCAACTTTTTGATACCTGAACTTGTTGCGGTGAGCTCCTGTGCTTGCACCCATCATGATAAATTATTGCTTAGGCCAACATCTAAACATTTGTCATATCTTAAGAAAATCTAACATTTAATCTAATTTATTATCAATGTTTCTAAAAAATAGGATAAGTACAGGGTCTCTCTCTCACAAATGATATTGTCACAAAAGAAAATATTTCTTTTTTTCTGTTCCACTTACATGAGCCAAGTACATCAACTTGATAAAGATGATTTAATACAAAAGAAAGACAAGACAAGCCAACATAACCATAGTGCTCGCTTATAACTAAAAATGATAAAGATACAATGCAAACCTCATAGTCAAAGCGGTAGGCTGTCCTTGAACCCTGCATCTGCATATTGGTGTTGAGGTCCAAGGTCATTTTAGTAGGTCTGTACCACAAACAAGGAAGAAATAAGAATATTGTTGGTCATAGCCGAGATACTGTGAAAGACATAACTGATTGATCGATCAATTGAGTAGATATTTTACCGCACTATTGACACAATTTTGCCACTGGAGGACATGTCAAATCAAAACCAACACATTTAAGCCTACTCAAAATGAGACATTCAAAGAAAAAGCTTAGCATATGAGTACCCCAAGAATATTGATTGCAAATATTTACACCCCTATCAACTCAGCATAGATAATTTAAGAGACAGGCTGGCTGCTTTGGTTCTGATTGTCAGGGCCAACACAGGCTGAATGGGATACAGTATCCCAGCAGAAAGATACCAATGACTGATAAAATAGATTTGATAGAATGATTCGAAATAAATATTGGGCTTCATAGTCAATATCTACCTTATGAGCTTTGAGATTAAGGAGGGGAAAAAGCAAAGTGAAAGATCCAACAGTCTGCAAAAAATTTAACATAGCAATCAACACTTCTTGCATTGTCCAGCTCAAGGCTAATAAGTCTCAGATAAAATCACAAGTAAGATAATATATCGATGGCTGGATGCATTGATCTGACAAATGTCAAATTGCAAAATGGCTTTTGTCAGTCTTGCATCCAGCAATTGATATGTCCTCTTACACAGAGCAGGAGTTTTGAACCCAGGCCACTTACGCTTTGGTCTTGTGAGCAGCCAGGGCACACAGCCCAGCCACTTGGGAGGAGTAATACATTTTCCCTCCAAAGCCACCTCCGAGCCGAGTCACTTCTACTGTTACACTGAAAGGAAAGAGTGCCTTGGGTGAATAAGAAGTGTAACTTGGTTATAACATTGAGTGTCATCCACAGACTTGTATATATATATATATATATATATATATATATATATATATATATATATATATATAAATATATATATATCCAAGTCTGTGCACTCTGATGTAATTCCAGTTCCCCATGAAGTGCACCATTTGCCTCTATTTGGAACCAAATGAGGGATAAGAAGGGAAAGGTTGCACGCACGCTTGACGATAGCAATTAAAACTGGTGGGTTTTTTTAGTAGAGGTTTTAACGCACTCGCAACTGTATAAGTTCATATGAGCACCAGAAGATTAGAGGTGTTACAAGAGAGTAACAAACATAAAAAAGAAGGAGGGGAGATAAGGACGATAGATGTTTGATAGGAAAAAAGAAGCAAACCACACCAGAGCACCTGCCAACCACCGACAAACTGGTGTTTTGACATTCATTTGTTCGCCCATGGTGCGCACTAGCACAGCGAAATTTTTGCTACAGAGGAAAGAACAGTGGCCATGACAGTGCCCAGTCTAGAATATCAAGTCAATGTTGTCATCAAAGATGGTGCACTACATGATGATTCACAGTCTACTGAACTTTGACAGGTAAAAAGTGGTAATCATTCTCCAAATTCATACTATAAAACTTTAAAAAAACAAAAACAAAAGAAACCAGTTATCAAAATCAAACATATGAAAAAAAGTTTGAACCAACTCTCGAAACCAAACTAAAAATAAAGTTTGAATAAATTCTCGAAACCAAAGAAAAAAGTTTGTATCAATTCTCAAAACTAAACTATGGAAAAAAGTTTTTCAACCCATTCTCAATGCCATACTGAACAAAAAGTTTGAACTAATTCTCAAAATCTAACTGTGAAAAAAAAACCCCAATCAGAGAGCTTACTCTGAATCTGTCATTCCCAGCACCTGAGCCACTGAGCCTTGTGTGAAGTCCAGAAACTGTGAGGAGGCCTTGACCTTCATGCCTCCCGTGTCCTCAAGGGAGCAAACTGCGACCTGGTTCTCCAGGTGAAAGTGATACTGGTCGCCGGTGTGAACCCTGCCACTGACAACATTCGCAGCCGACGCCAAAGCAGCTGGGAATAACAAGTGATTTTGTCTTAATATAGCTCACAAGATAAAGCTGTAATGAAAGGCGCAATTTCATTTTAGAAACACAATATTTGATCATTGGAATAAAAGGCAATTTTTATCCATAAGAAGCTACTCACACGACTTTAAGTGCATTACAAAAGAGTTCTCGCCTTTGCACTGTAGCAATAAATGTAAACATCGAATTCAAAATTTTTAGACAATGTTTTCCAGCTGTAAGATATGTGGAAAATAGTAATAATATAACAAATTATTTTACTACAAAAAGAAGAGAAGCTTATGTCCATGATGCAATATTTCCAGTCTTTGATTCAGATCGAAGCAACAAAGTGGAAGTTTCTTAACCTTTGACATCCCCTGCTGAGAAAGTTCTCGGCTCAGTGTGAAACCTCTGCTTTGCAATGGCCACCTTGAGATCTGTTACCGCAGGCTCAATGTTCTTGTATGTGACCTTGACCTGTGATGACGCTTGTCTGGCAGTAACTTCATTGTCTGTGTTTTGAGAGATAGAATGGGAGAGATAAATCTAAATGAGTGCTAATGGGTACAATTTCTGTATAGTTGGAGCTACATTTTCTAACGATAGCAAATCATATTTTTGACATGTTGTAATCAGAAGAACAAGAAATTACATGGCAGAGAAGTTTACAAGATCAGAAAAACAAGGCTCAGAAATAGTATTGTTTATTTGTTTGACTGGAAAGAAGCACATCAACACAATGGCTGTCAATAATTTTAGTGCAGTGAAAAAACCCAAGATAGAAACAGCTGAGGGAAAGAAAAGAAGAGGGATGTACTAGTGACACCTTTCAATAATCCACATCCTGTAATCATGAATGTGCACAATCCATCCTGACCCGGTTTTGATCTAATAACTGACCACATGTATCAAAAACTAACCAACAAAGCAGATTCTATGTAAAGACAGAGCTTCGATTCATGTTTGAACTTACCAGCTACAACAACGCCTAGTGGCTGTCCAGCATACAGGACTTGACCAGAACAAAGCAACTGCAGATTACAAGAAGGAAACATTATGGTGAGTCATTTGCGAAAAACTTTTAGTTTAGTTTAATTTCAAGTTTTACAACTCTTGCAATACAAATAGGTCATTTTAAGTGTCGAAGAGAAGAAGTGTTACTAGATAGCATCATACAAAGAGAACAAGGAGGAGAGCTATAGATAGTTGTTCCATAGGAAAGAAGGAGCAAACTGCACTAGAGCACACACCAACCACCTGCAAATACATTCTGTTGTATCATGAGTGAGAATCAAATTCAGATTTAGAAAATACCACAACACAGAAGTAATGGGAAAAAAACTCATTAGAAAATATTCTGAAAAGAAAAGTTGAAGTTGTTGGTACAATCAGTAGGTCCTTGAATGCTTATTATTTTATTCAATATCCAGCTTGTACTTGTAGTCATGAGATTACTGGTTTGGGATGTTGTATCACTAGGAAATTAAAGCACCTTACACAAAATTTTCCATTCGACTTGGTTCTATCAGAGATGAATATTAAATTCTAAGGTTCGCCTCTTAAATAACGTAACAGTGTTGCAAGGAGGATACAGCGTACAATATTTCACACATTTTCACACACTTGGCCACCCTGTACCAACATCATCATAGTCATCTTACTATTATGAGAAAAAAACACAGTAAAAAAGCCATCCCGCTTACCTCCTGGACTTCCCCTGGCCCGTACCATCCCTTGGGTCTCCAGTTGTTCACCCCAGGGATGTCTGACGCCTGCAGGAATGCCACCACTCCTGGGATACCCTGAGCAAATATTTGTTTGTTTTATTAGAGGTTTTATGGCGCTTGCAACTGCATAAGGTCATATGAGCGCCAAGGGGTGGATGTCAACAGAGAAGTCCTTACAGGGAATCAGGCTTACTCTGCTCACCTCTCTAGCTTCAACAGCACAAAGTCTGCTTCGACTATCAAAGCACCTAGGAAATAGAGGGTCACATGAGTGTAACAAACATATAAAAGAAGTAGAGGAAAAATGACGATAGTAAGGATTAGGAAAGAAAAAGCAGCCATTCTCTGTTGCAGTTCAGGTACAGTTATGAGTATGACATTGTTGAATCAGCCCATTTACAATTACAATTCTACTGTACATAAGAACATGGTTAATATCCCCTCTTTGGGAATGGCCTAATGACACTTCAGTCAGTAGCACCACCTCGGGTGTTTACCCTGAGGAAATGAATTTAAGACCAAAAAAATGTTTTATGATGTCCCCATCAACACAATTCAGATTATTTTGGAGGAGGGTTCCTTCAACACCGGCATGTGTGTATGTTTGGGTGTGCATTTGTGTGTGTATGTGTGTGTGCGTGTCTGTGTGTCTGTAGGGTGGTGGTTGGGGG